GGGGGGGGGGGGGGGTAGTCTATTGTGAATATTGGAATGTATATTACAATAAATAGTAATATCATATGTAAACATTCATTGGAATAGATGATCAGCCTTGTGGCTGCTATGTGAATAAAATAAAATAATTTTTGGTATACTATAATATTGAACATTGATTTTCTTGAAATTATTCGTAAATGGAAGATGATTGCTAGTTGAGCTTGTAATTTTTGTTGGTGGAGAGGGTTTATTGGAATAAATGAAATTCATTGGGACATATTATTCAGTTTTATTAAGTTTAAAATAATTTTATACTCTCTATATGTACGTAATACATAACTGTTGCGATGACACACCTGATTTTGGTCTTAATTTGCTTCTTTTAGGTAAAGGAACAAGTAAGTGGTGACAATGGATCAGAATTAGAGAAAAGGGTTGTATTTGAACTTCTTGGAGGACTCTCTCCAAAAAAGAATTCGAAGGATAAAGCTACCCCAATTAAACAAAACTCTGTTGATCAAAATAATGTAGCAGTTAAAAATGCTAGGAGGGAGCTCGGTCTTATGACTCCAAAAAAAGTAATTGAAGAAAGGACCAAGGTAAAAAGTCAGTTTATTACCTTGTATTTCATTGTTTGGTGAAATGTAACTCTTAATATTGGTTAACAGGCAGTTCGCGTAGATGGCATACAGAGAAAATTGAACAGAAGTGCTAGACTGGCAGAAATTCGTGAATCTATAAAGAAGTTTAACACGAGTGACCAGGCATTACAGGAACTTGAAATTAGAAGGAAGAATTTGGAATGTACTAGTCCTCGCTTACAAAAATTTACAGCCATCGATCTTGAAGTTCCTATCAGGTAATATTCATTGTCAATTTGCTCCTTCCCATCAAGTGGTACTTAATGAGAATGAAATAAAGATAATTTAATTTACTGGAACTATTTGAATGAATGTTGGTGGCTAACCACAGCAAACATTTTTGTTATAATATTAAATATATATAAAACCAGAATTAGTTATTGATTTATCCCCTCAAAAGTGGATTTTTACAGCATTTCCCAAGTAATGTGGAAAACGTTGAAAAATTTGTTTGTGTTACTTGGGTATTGCTATAAAATCCATCACAATAAATTATTCTGAAAACTAGCTTTATCTTTAAAAGAATTAAATATTTAAAAAAAAGATTATTTTTGTTGTGGTTTGATAACTGGGATGTTTATTCAATTATGAACTTCTCCAAGCTCTGTGTTGCCTCTGAATCAAGAAAATTAAATTGCATAAACATTTCCAAATATTCTGGAAAGTGGTAGTGTCAGAGTTGTGAAGTTCAATTTCGTCATGAACCTTCATTGCTACTGGCATATGAATCAATTTTTGATTAGTTCAGTTAGAACAAGCCACTGGAAACTTTGGAAGTGCTTGTGGTTCTTAGAATTTTTTTCTTATATTTTTTTATGTTCAGTCCACAGAAAGGTTCGTCTGCAGCTGCAAGCCCTATTAAAGCAAGTCCTTTGAAGAAAACTCCTATTAAAAGTCCTTTGACTAGTCCCGTGAAATCTCCTGCATTTCAGAGACTTGCACATTTGGTGCAAACTGGTGTTCCTTCCCTTACTTTGCCATATAGCTATCGATTTCTGGAAGAAATATTTAGATGTGTGGATACTGTAACTTCAATGATGTATAATCGCAGAGAAACAGTAACATTTGATAAGTTGAAATCCGGAGTTCAACAAATGCTTCGAAGGTAATGACTTAATACAATGACAAATTACACTAGGCAAAAATAAACTTTCCCCCTCTCTCTCTCTCTCTCTCTCTCTCTCTCTCTCTCTCTCTCTCTCTCTCCTCTCTCTCTCCTCTCTCTCAACAGGAATGAAAATTGGTGTTGTTTATGAATTTGAGGGTGCTCAAATTGCAGTTCATAGAAAATGTCTATTATGTCCCATTTATTTATTAGCAGAATTACAGCCTGTGTCTCTACCACTACATACAATATATTGTAGTTTTAGATGTAGGGTCCAGAAACAGTTGTCAGGATTTTGGAATTAATGTGTACTATTAATATAGTTTATAAATTATGTTCGCTAACTATATAATAATTAGGAAAATTGTATAAAAAAAAAACCAAATTAATAGAAAAATTCTAAAAAATTAATGTCGTGTGAAAGCACGGGTAATGGTAGATGTCATTTCTGTCCAACAGCAGTTGGTTCTTGTAAACTAACTTCTAAATTGTCTTTAAAAAACAGAACACTTTTGCCCACAATTAAAATAAACATTTGAAGGGTTGTGTAGAACATGGGGCTATCTCTCATTGACCTAATTCTGAGATATTTAGGGTTTTACTAGAACTTTCACATATAACTCAATATATTTTAAAACTGTCAAACATAGCACATTTGCATACAAGTACACAGAGGATTTGAATAATGCATTACTTAATAATATTTGAAAAAACGACGTCTTCTAGGCAATCTCTCTTCAGTGACTCGACATAAAAAATGCGTTATATAGTAATTATACTATTTGATGCCTTGATATTGAAAAAAGGGAGGAAGAGACAAATCTGGGTGTCCACCAGCCCATGGTGTTGCCATGCTGTGCAATGAGCGTTCACCCTGTTAGTCTCCGTCTTGGTGCTTGAATTTCATATGACTCGTGCACATGTGGGTGCCCAACTCTTGATTTCTGATTCTGATGGCACTTCAAAGGGAAATCCTCTAATTACACCGTACGCTTGCATTAAGATGTTTCCTCTAGCAACTTTCTGTCTTGGGCAATTTCTACATGAGAGAACGCACACGTAAGCTTCTGCGGCTTGCTTCCATAAATTCTTGGCTCTCTGGAGACGCCGCAACATTGGCTTGCAGGCTGTTTCCTGAGTTCACAACAGTGTTACTAGTGCCGATAGCCAGGAACTAGAGAAAGATCTTCCAACATTGAAATGCTAGAGAATTTAATGTAAACCAAAAATTCCTTATCATATTTTATTAACATGGCAAAACTTTGATTTAGGATGAAAAAGTTACGTTTTGTTAGATGGGTTACTTTTTATTCAGTGGGTTTAAAATGCATTGTTTATATGGTAAAATTTTTGGGGCTGTTCACTTTTATTTATTAAGTGGGTTCCACTGTATATTCATTGTGCTATTATACTTTTTGTAAGACACGAAATGCACAACAATTGAACATGGAGATTATCATGTAAATACCAGTCCATTGTAACAATAAATAAATAAATCTTATAAGGGAAAAATATAAAGAAGCACTGGAAAGCTCAGTAGAGATTTTTTTTTCTCTCTTCCAGGAAATGTGTTCACCCTAATCCATTTTGAAAACAGAATATAATTTAGATTATTAATTTGGTTTTAAAGTTATGATTTATTTGGTTTGTAATCCTACTTAACTGTGTTTTTATGTTATGTATAGAAACTTCAGTGAACAGCATATTGGACAAATTAAAAGGGTTTTCCCTGATGCCTTCAACGTTTCTCAAGAAAAATCCTCCATGATTATGTCTTCTAAGAAAGTAAATAAATATCAATTAGTTGTGGTACCAATTTTTGATCCAAAAGTTGCAGGCAAGTAACATTTTATTGAGTGTGTGTATTTTTTTTTTAATTTAATTTAATGCATGTACATCACACAATGGCTTAGTTGAGTTGTTCCCCTCAAATATCTCCTGAACCATTGTAGATATTGAGATGCTATTTTTACGGATATGAATGTATGTGAGGGGCTCATAAGTGTATGGAAACTTGTATCTTAAACATTTCTGGCTGAGCTTGGTAAGAGGTGGAAATATTGTAAACATATGCCAGAACACAGCAGTTTTTTCAACAGAAAAACTCTTTATTGTTGGTCCTGTAAAAGAAGTTGATAAAGCTTGTTCCTATACAAGTTTCTTGTATGTATGTGAAATGCAAATAGAAGCATGCTATTGGAAGTACAGATAGTAAATTACTTCTTCTGACATGTGTGGGACCTTGATACTGAAGAACTGATTGATGTCAAAATGTCTGTAATCAATGCTACTGCCTAAACTGTTTAGAAGATTTATCCAGAATTCATAGTCTACATGTTTAAAGGAATTCAAAGCCTTGCCTGAATATTTTGATTTTTGGGGGTACTTTATATGAAGCCTAAATATCATTCTCAAAATTTTCTCAAAAATGGCTTTAAAAAAAGGTTTAATCAAAAACTCTGCTCTTGGATAGCCTAGAATATGTGTAAAAGAATAGCACAGGTTTCATTTTTCATTGAATCCCTTACTTATTTAAAATTTGCAAATATACTAAATTGGTATTCAAAAATTACAAACTAACTAAATTGGTACTCAATATTTTCACCATTTTCCTACAACTACAATATTGAAGATTTTTGCCTTAATGAAATCTGTTGATCCGACAGGTCATGAAATAAGGTTGTGAACAATCCTTCAAAATTGTGTATCTTTCATGTAATTTTGTGTTAGATATAGGAGGTTTTTAAACAATTATTTTCTCAACAGCTTGAAAATTTCTCTTTAAAGTTTCACCTTGTGTGTATCAGAGGGTAGTGAAATATTGGTGCTGGTCCCATTTTCAGCGAACTATCTATTTTTGAAAATTGCAGTAAAAATCAACTCCTCAAAAGTACAATTATGAAGATCGAAGTTTTTGTTTTTTGAGGATAGCTTCACACATTTGTTATTTAATGAATCCTAAGTAGTGTGGATAGGGGAAAAAAAGATTGAGCAAAGGACTCTGAAAGAATGGTGCTGGCCTAATTTTTGTTGAATGCCCTGAACTTTTTTAATTTCCTTGTTTAATAAGCCAAATTAATAGGGACAGTACTCGTATTTGTGTAATTTCTAGTTTAAATATTTTTGTGTGCTATGGATTTGGTTTTGATGAGATTTGTAGTATTACTGTTATCGTTACTATTGTTTGTAAGAAGTTACAACCCTATATACCTGTGTTACTTAAGAAATAAGTGCTGTTCTCATTCGGTTGAAATTTGTTGATAACTGCTGCTGTAGTTTGGGCAGATAATTTTTTTTAGTAATTACTTGCCAGTTTTTCCTTTCCTTTCCAAAATAATAAAAACATAAGAATTTTTCCTTACTGCATTACTTTAACTAAATTTTATGTGTGAATTTCATTGTAATTACAAAGTAGCGTCACAACCTCGAAGATTTTATTTTTTAGTATGGTAAGGCTTCAAACTCGTCACGAAGGAAAATTAGAGAAATACAAACACTAATACTTCACTCTACACATTCGCAGAGAGAGATGGTATTACAGGTGTTTTGAAAACTGTCATTAACAGAAAAATAAAATTGATTTGACACCCCTGGAAGCATGTCATATGAGTAAATATAGCAGAAAAAGCATGACCAGGCTTCATACCGAACGTAGAATCAGGGACATCTGCTTCAAAAACCATAAAAACAATATTACTCCTTGGACTATGATTTTAAACGCCAAGGGAGAAACAATTTCCAAAAGGACAGTTCAGAGATTATTAGCAGAAGAGAACGTGGGTCGTCGCTCATGCCTCACCCAGTCCCTGAAGAAGAAACAACTGCAGTGGACCAAAGAACACTGAAATGTAATTGTTGCAGACTGGAGTCGAGTAGTACAAAATGTTTATATATTTAAAGTATGAGTACATTTCATCAATATTGAATTTTGTACTATTTTACTGGTAAGCTTCTCTGGCAAATCAACGTTTCAGATTTTGGTTGACTAAAGTTCATTTGTCTGTCAAAGCTCTGGTGTTCGGTTCCATTCAAACTACCTAATGGGAGGGGTTAGCGTCATGCACATCGTAGAAGGGACAATGAGGCAAGACCAGTACAAGCGAGAACTAGAATGTCTGCTATTGCCACAGCATGAAGTTCATTGAATGGTTCCTAGGTGATTAAGAATACATTATATACACAATCGGCACCTTATCATAAAGCCAGGAGTATTACTGCATCCCTGATACGCAAAAATATTACTATCTTGCCCTGGCCGTGGAACTCGCCAAACATAAACCCTGTAGTGAAGTCATAATGGGAACTAACCTAACTGCCAATTGCCAAGCATGTGATCACCACCAGGAGCCAGATAACTGCATCGATGGGTAATGCCACTAAATATTAGTCTTAATTTTACCTAAATATCTTACTGCTTTTATAATCTCAATAACACACTCTTATGAATAAAAAATGCCCATGAAACCAAAACCCAATAATTTGTTTGGAAATGCAGTTAACCATAAAAACACAAAAATCTGAGTTCTGTCCCTAATAATTTAGCAACTTACTGTACATGCATACCCTTTGGAAACTTTCATATTGGTGGAAACACATTTGCTTTGCTTCAAGAGATATTTGAAAGGAGCATCTTAAATGAGTCTGTATAAAATAATATGAACAAAACTTTAATTGTAAGTTTCTAGTCATTGTGTTATTTCACTTTATTTATATGTATAATAAAAACTTGTGTATATATACATATTTACAGATGTCTTGAAAATGTCAAATGGTAGTTGTCATTCTGTTATGACACCTACATTATTAGTTCAGAGACGAGAACAGTTTCATAATAATCTACTTAAAATTGTGAAGAATCATCATAAAGTAAGTTTTTTTTAAATTTAATACATTTATTATCAGACTAGCTGCAACTGCTCTGCTTAATCTAAACATGTTTCTCAAGAAGGTATTCTTACTTTCTTAGATAGTAGTTCCTCTAAATGTCAAAATGTTATTCAAGGCAGTTCGTCCAGTTTTTTATTATTACTCTTAATTATAAATATGTCATGAAAAATAGTGTAAACATACAAGTACACTCTTTACATCAAAGTCCTTAATTTTTGTCAACAGAAGTTTTTGGAGAACCTTGATCCTCCTGTAATTATTCCCCATGCTAGCCTTGCAAGATGGCACCCAGAATTTCAATTGGATGCAGTACCTCCCATAACGCCTGCAGAACTCCCTGCACCTCCATGTGAAGAAAAGATTTGTTCAGCTAAAGAGGTCTTGGGTAAGTATTATGGACATGTTGTAAGCATCCTACCAAAGAACAAAATCTGACCTATAGCCTGGCTGAAATTGAGTCTTGCACATTGGTACACTGATTGTGTATAGCTCAAATGCTAGCCTATTACGATGAAACTATTATTATTAT